TGATGCAACCATTGAGCATTCTAGAATGGAAATGGGATAGCATTTCTATGGATTTTGTGACAAGTTTGCCGAAGACAGTGAAGGGATATGATTCGATTTAGGTAATTGTTGATAGATTGACTAAATCGGCTCATTTTGTACCGACGAGGATCAATTATTCGTTGCAGAAGCTTGCTGAATTATATATTGAGCAGATTGTGAAGGTGCATGGTGTTCCGTCGAGTATTGTTTCGGATAGGGATCCGAGATTTACATCGAGGTTTTGGGAGAGTTTGCAGACAACTTTAGGTACTAAGTTGAGGTTGAGTTATGCCTATCATCCGCAGACGGATAGACAGATAAAAAGAACTATCCAGTCTTTAGAGGATTTGTTGAGAGCTTGTGTTTTGAATCAAGGTGGATCGTGGGACAGTTATTTGCCGTTGGTTGAGTTTACCTACAATAACAGTTACCATTCTAGTATCGGGATGGCACCGTATGAGGCTTTGTATGGTAGGAGGTGTAGGACTCCGTTGTGTTGGTATGAATTAGGCGAGAGTGCTGTGCTCGGACCTGAAATTGTGCAAGAGACAACTGAAAAGATCAAGATGATCCGTGAGAAGATGAAAGCATCGCAGAGTCGTCAAAAGAGTTACCATGATAAGAGGAGGAAAGCACTTGAATTCCAAGAGGGAGATCATGTGTTTCTGAGAGTTACGCCGGTAACTGGTGTTGGTCGAGCTTTGAAGTCTTGAAAGCTCACATCGCGCTTTGTGGGTCCGTATCAGATTTCGCAGAGGGTGGGGGAAGTAGCCTATCGGATTGCTTTACCATCGTCGCTCACGAATTTGCATGATGTGTTTCACGTGACCCAGTTGAGGAAGTACATTCCAGATCCGTCGCATGTGATTCAGATGGATGATGTACAAGTGCGAGATGATTTGACTGTTGAGGTGTTGCCTGTTAAAATTGATGATCGAGAAGTGAAACAACTACGAGGTAAAGAAATCGCCTTGGTGAAGGTATTGTAGGGAGGACCAGCTGGAGAAAGTTGGACTTGGGAACGTGAAGATCAGATGAGGGAGTCGTATCCGACTCTGTCTTCTGCAGGTAATTTTCGAGACGAAAATTCTTTTAAGTGGGGGAGGGTTGTAACACCCAAAATTTAATCGGAATATGTTAATTAATTATTTAATGGTGAATATTCATGTTTCGGTGAATTTCCGGTGATTTTGTGATTATTGGAAAAATGTGCATTTCAGATATTTATTTGATTAATAGCATATAATATTAATTTACTAGTATTATTATTAATTAAATGGAATATAAGTGAAATAAGGTCAATTTGGGTATTTGAGGAAGTTAGTAAGGGTAATGAGGGAAAAACCCAATTTGTGAGGCCCAAGACTGAGTTAGACAAAATAAAGTTCTGAGAGGAAATTGGAATTCATTTGTGTTTAACGTGAAAGTTGGTGTGACCAGAGCTCTAAAGGAAAGATTGGAGGCAGAAGGTCCCAAAGAGAAATCGTGAAAGCTGCGAATCACTAAGGTATGGGGAGTATTTCTGTTCATGATTTTCCATGTATGCCTTTAGATGTATTCATGGTGGATTTAGGATTTGAGGGTTTCTGAGTTGAATTGGGGAAACTAAGAGATTTGATTATAGAACTCTGAGATTGTGGGTTATGGTATGAATCACTGAATATTAATGTGAGTTTGGAAACCAAACCCTTGGATTGTGATATGGTTGACCTTGTAGAATAGGAATATCTGAATCTGAGTAACTCTGATGTACTCAGAGCAATTGCAGGAAAATAATGTTTTAGGCAGTGCAAATGTTTCCAGATTAGCCTAATAAACCACAGAGTTTGTAGTGTTATTGTCGTATAACCTTAGGGATGATTTAGGGATACTTTGGGGGCATTGGGTGAATGATTCATATGAGTTTTTGGGTGGAAATCAGTTCTGGTGCGTAGCAGAAGTTGCTGTCATCGCACTGTTCGCCTAGCGAGCAAGCCAGTGAAGGTTCGCTACAAGACTCGCCTAACGAGCAAGCCAGCGAGTATTCGCTAGAGGCTTGCCTAGCTAGCAAGCCAACGAGGGGCTCGCTACGAGACTCGCCTAGCGAGCGAGCCAGCGAACGTAGCAGAAGTTCGCGAAATTGAGTGTTGTGCAGCGATGCCGTGATGTGTGATTCTGGGATTTCTGGGATGAGTTGCCATGGGTATGGCAGCGGGTTTTGGGTGATATGTGCATTATGTTATGATGGTTCTATAATGTGTTGGGTTGAGGTAATATGATGATATTACTATGACTTTTGGGTGAATTACATGATAATATGATGCTATGATGGTTTATGTGATTTATGTGATGATGATGAACATGATGAATGATGATGCACCATATGCTGTATTATGAGGATTATTATTGTGACGTGTGCATCATGCATTCATGCGCATTCGATTGCTTTGGCTTCAATCCCACTGTGTGGATGTGAAGTATTTTGACGTGCTTCGATCCTATTGATGGGGATCTATGGAGGGTTGATGACCCAGTGTCCGTCGAGCTGTGATGATTGGTACCACATGCATTGAGTTGTGTTGCATTGCATTTATGAGTCTTTGTGTATAAATTATGATGTTGTGACCTTGAGGCATATGTGAGTAATATGAATGTGTTGAATATGAATATGTTGTCGTTTATGCATTAATTGTCATACATTGATTATTATGAATTGTTTTACTTACCCTGCCTGTTTGAATGTTACCTACACGCGGGTAACGTGCAGATGATCCAGTTTAGCCGTGGACGCCTACGAGGAGTTAGTTTTGAAGTTTTTGAGCGTTTTAGTCTTTTGGTCAGCTTAAAGGGTCTTGCTCTGATATGTAACATCGGGTTGGGTTCTTGAGTTGATTTTATGCTACTGAAGTTATTTTGATTCATTCCCTCTTTGAGGAAGACTTTGAAGTATGTTTTGAATTCCGCTGTTTATGATGCTTTGATGTATTTTTGGAAAAAAAACCCCGTAGTTACGGAGTATGAATCCTATTTTGATGAATTTGAGAATGTACGCCCTTTTAGTGGCATTTTAATGAGATTTATTTATTCACTCTGATTTATGTGTTATTTTGCCTTGATATTTTTGGGGTAGAAAAATGGTGTTACATGTACAAACTTTCAAGTTTCACCCATAATCTCGATGCTGTAGTCTCCTTTGATACCTGTCGAAGAACCTTATCACCAAGGCTCAACACTATTGCGCTGTGGGCTTTCTCAATCATGGTCATCTTTTCTTTTACCGTTAACGCAACGTCCATGACTGCCTCTCCCTTCAACGCTACCAAACAACCCTGTTGAACCAGTAGGGCTTTCATTTTCAAGCGCCATAGACCGAAGTCCTTCACTCCGGTGAACTTTTCAATCTTATACTATGTTGAAGTCATCTTCTCCACGCTCACGACACCAATTTGTTGTGAATCGAATACCTTAAAACAAAGTATAAATGATTTCTTTATGATCAAGGAACACATAAGGGTTAGGGTTAACAAAGAAAACAAGGTAAAACAATAAGAAACAACAAGGGTTGGTTATAAACTGCTATTCTTTCCTTTCTCTTAGAACAAGATTACAAGTATACAAGAATAACAAAATAATTTCTCTCACTTGAATTAGGATTTTATCTTCCTATTTTTCCTTATGCCAAGATGAGAGACTAACATGCTATTTATAAGAAAAATAATACACTAACTTAATGGACTTTTTAACAATTATCTATTACAAACTAACTTAAACAATTGGACTTACAAGCAAGACCTAATTCAACATGCTAACAAACCTAGCGATATTAACTAATGCATGTTAGAATAAACTTCAACTACAACACGCATTACTCTGACACTAGCATGTGAACAGACTTTGACCTCATGCTTAATTCTTGTAGAATCAGAAGCTACCCTTCGACCATACTAGAGTTCGATCCAATATCTCACAAAAATAATTTACAAATTTACGCATATAAAATATAATTTAAAATAAAAAAGTAAATATGATAAAATATAATATAAAGATTAATTTGATATTCAATTAAAAAATATCTATGACTCTAAATTTGATATTCAATTCAAAAATATGATAAAATATAAATAATAATTAATTTAATATTCAATTAAAAAATACTAAAAAAAGTAAAAATAAAAACCTAATAAATTAAAAGTATTAAAAATAAAATAGTTTTATCATTTACATATTATATATGCATATTTTTATTTTACTTATCTAATATGTATAATAGAATGCACGATTTAAAAAAAAAATTGAAATAGTTTCAATGAATTTGTTTATTCATTTTTTAAATTATATAAAATTATTAATTTTTTTTATTAAGTTATAAAATTTAAAACATTTTAAAATTTTTTTTGAAAAATATGTACTTATCTTACATAATTAAATTTGTCATATATATATATATATATATATATATATATATATATATATATATATATATATATATATATATATATATATATATATATATATATATATATATATATATATATATATATATATTTGATATCTTATGTAAAGTTATCTTGTCTATATCATATTTTATCTTTATCTTACTTTATATTCTATCATGTCTCTATCATATGGTATGTACCAAATGACATCTTAAATTTTTCTAACTCATGAAAGAATTAAATATCATTTTTTTTTGAATAGTATATCTATTTGATATTTTTTTAAATAATGTAAATATGTTTATAAAATCTTAATTATAATTTATATTTGTGACTCATCGATTTCCTAACAACCGCTTCACACTTACTATTTGAATATATTGACTTCATAACTCCTGAGTAACAACCGCGAAGACGACGTCGTGTCACAGTGCTCACACCTGTTAGTTTTTTTTCACATTCCCTCTTCCCGGCACAGCTTTCCTTCCCCTTTCGGAATCGCAACCCGAATCAGTTCCATTTTTCGGACCGGAATTCTAGAGTTACCGGAGCAACCGCCACAGTATGAGTATCTCCGAGCTGATTTCCGAGTTGCGAGACTCATTCCTTCAGAGAGATTTCGATAGAGTTGAAGAAGCCCTAATTGCTAGGGAAACAAGATTAAAGGCGGAAATTGAAGATAAGAAGAGAGAAATACGGTTGTTGAATGAAGAAATTGATTTTCAAAGGATAGAAAAAATGTCGGCTGAATTGGAACTCAAGAGGCTGAAGGAACTTATAGATGGAGGAGACATTGCATGTGCTGTTCCTCATACGGGAAATGTTGGGGCCAGTACTGTTGCTCAAATAGGAAATGTTGGGGATAGTATTGTTGCTTCAGGTATGGTGATTCTATCTATTATATTTACATTCTTAATCTTGCAATGCTACTTTTATACTCCCTCCGTTCTAAAGTATAAGGTTTTTCCGTGCAGCAATGATATTGTCATAAGATAAGATATTCCACTTATACTAAATTAAATTAGTCTTATTAATGCGTTGAAAATAGTGTATAGAGTAATAATTATAGGACACAATTGGGACACAATTGAAAAAATAGTAATTATTAGTATATTGAGAAGTGAGAATGACATTAATTTTGAAACAAATTTTTTTTTCTAAAACGATAGTCATTTTGAAACGGAGAGATTAATATTTACTTGTTTGCATGTACCAAAATGTTGCTTGCTGCATGTCTAGTGCTGCTGTAGCGACTATTAGACAACATTGTTAGGACAGTACATTATGTACTTTGTTATGGAATGAATGCAATGTCTATGCCATAGCTATGATTCTTTGAATTCAGATAAACTATGGAATGGATGGTAATTAACTGAGTCATTATGGCACAATGAGCTCCTTGTTGGTTGAATAATTGTGAGAAAAAAGATGGAGAGTATCTTGTCTTTTTCTAAATGAAATAGTTTCTGGCTGGCCTATGTAAGTTTTACAGGGACAACTTCTAGGTTGTTTTTGCCTCAGCTCGCAACCAACAATGGCTCTAACATCTCTGAGTCATGCTTCCCCTACTACTAAAAACCACTCAGATATCGCTTAGGAATATGATCTCAACCGTAGGGATATCTAATGAGTCAGGTTCTCTAAAATGATGGGGGATAATGACAGATGAGACTTCCGGAAAAGGCGTGGGAATACTTTTTTGTAGAGGTTCCGTAGTTACTTGGCGGACTCGAAATATGGAACAGACTCGAAGGTAACATCGACCGATACGAGGTATCGTTGTAGAGTATGTGAGTAGCAACGATAACCCTTTTGGGATCGATGATAGCCAAGAAAGACACACTTTAGTGATCGAGCTGATAGTTTATCAAGACCAGGGGAGAGATTGTGTACAAAACACGTAGACTCGAAGACTCAAGGAGGAATTGGGTGGAGTTGAAAGTTTGGAAACAAGATTGAATGAGGGATTTTATTATTAAGGACAGATGAGGGCATGCGATTTATGAGGTAACATGCTGTGAACACCGCATCTCCCCAAAATCGAAGAGGAACATTAGCATGGAGAAGTAGGGTCCAAGTGGTTTCTACGAGGTGCCGATTTTTGCGTTCAGCTACCCCGTTTTGTTGGGGTGTATGAGGACAAGATGTTTGGTGCAAAATACCATTGGATGACATAAATGATTGAAATTGTTGGGATAAATATTCACGTGCATTGTCACTTCTTAAGGTACGAATAGACAAACCAAATTGGGTTCTTATTTCTCGATAAAATTGTTCAAAAATGGAAAACAATTCAGATCTATTCTTCATTAAAAATAACCACGTGCAACGTGAAAAATCATCAATAAAGGTGACAAAATACCTAGACTCAAGAGTAGAGACAGTACGCGAGGGACCCCAAACATTGGTGTGAACTAAAACAAAAGGGGACGAAGCTCGTTTGTTGACTCGATTGGAAAATTGATTACGAGTGTGTTTCTCTAACTGGCACGACTCACAATGTAAATTAGATACCTTCGATAAATTTGGCACCAATTTATGTAATTTAGAAAGACTGGGATGACCTAACTGAGCATGGATAGTGAGTGGAGAATCTTTGGTTGAGCATGTCTGAGATGACAATGAGAGGTAGTAAAGGCCTTGAGACTCATATCCGACGCCAATCGTCTTTCTCGAACTCCGATCCTGCAAGGTAACATTATTGTTAGTGAAGGTGATACTACAATCAACAGAACGAGTTAAACGACTGACTGAAAGTAAATTAAATGGACAATTAGGTACATAGAGGACAAAAGTAGTAAATTAAATGGACAATTAGGTACATAGAGGACAAAAGTAACAGATAGAGAAGGTAGAATTTGAACAGTACCAATCCCTTCGGGTCGGGTTTGAGAACCATTGGCAGAAGTTATAGTAGTTAAGAAACTAGAGGTAGAGAGGGAAGAGAACAAATTTTTATTACCAGTAACATGATCAGACGCACCAGAATCAAGGACTCAAGGTCGAAGAGGAGATGATTTAGAAAGGCAAACAGATGAATTACCAGTGTGTGCTACCGTAGCAGTAGAATCTGAGTTATGATAATTCTGATATCACCTGAGGAAATCATCATAGTTTGGCGTAAAGTTCTGAGGAGTAGACATGAGTATCTGAAGAGAGAAAATATCACGCGATCGGTCGTCGGACGTGCTGTCACGTGCGGTTCAGGTGGCGGCGCGTGATGTCCACGTGCGGAGGTTTCTGTCGATGAAAAAGTTTGCCGGAAGGTCGTCGAAAATAGTAGCGACGGCAGCGGCTATGCGGTGGTCACCGGAGAATTTTGAAAAGTGAGGCAAACCAGAGTGACAACACGGTTTGCAAAAAAATTTTCTCACCGGAAGACAGCGGGTCAATCGGGTAAAGCACGACGAAGAAAGAATTGCCTCTTAGCAGGCTCTGATACCATGTTAAGAAGTTGATATTTATAAATATATATAGTGTTAAGAATATTTGTATATAGAATAGTCCCACATCGACTATATCATGTAATTAGTTGTAATCTATCTATATATAATAATGTCTCCGTAGTGCTTTTCAAAACACAGGGTTTATTCAAATGTCTCTTAGTCTCTTGTATCTTAAACATGGTATCAAGAGCCTCGTTTAAGATCCGGTGGGCCACCTTCTATGGTTTCCTCTATCGGGGCACCCATCATTTATTTCCACGCTTCAGTTGTCTAGTCTTGAGCGTGAGGGATATGGCATGAACATGTGTTTATAAGTGGGGGTAATCCTCACTCTACCAACCGGTTTTGTAGGGTTGAGTTAGGCCCAACCACATTTCTTAACACACTTAATTGAATAAAGAACTACAAAGCAACCAATTTTTTTAATAACTCCTAAAATGAGCTGATAGTCAGGATGCTTTGATAACTCAAACTTAACCTGCTTAGTCCCTTAATCTACTCTACTGTGTTGGACTTACATAGTGATTTTATGCTAGCAGAAACCTTAATGGTCAGGGAAGCGACATTGAAATCAGCAATTGAAGAGAAGGTGGGGGAAATAGAACAAATTTATAAATTCAAGAATTGGGGAATGCTGAATTTTGAGGTTGAGGTACAACTAATCAGAGGTGAAAAGCGTGGAGAGGAGTTCAGGAAGGTTGGGGAGAATGACAAGGTTTTGAAAGCTGTAGTGGGGAAAGAAAAATGCAAATTTGGGGTTCATGATTGGAAGGCTTGCCCTGATGGTGAGCAAGACAAAAAAGACTGTCCAAATGCTTCTGGTAAGGAGATTCTAACTGTTTTTTTTCCTGAGACTATGTGTATATACTTAAATATTAATTGAAGAAAGAAAAATGAAAATTACAACGTGTTTTATTATTAATGAGGTCAAGGTTGATTGTCTAGGCTATATAGCACAAAAGTTTTGTGATTAGTGGAGTCAAGAAAAAAATATTTAGAATGGATGTTGATTAATTGTGGTAATGGTTGGTGAAGTTTTTGACGTAATAGTGCGTTTTTCAAAATAGGGATGTCATTATTACTCTGAAGTGTTGTGGTTGGACCTAATTCAACCTTACAAAATCGGCTTGTAGGGTAAGAATTGCCCCAATTTATAAGCACATGTTCACTATATAATGCCCGATCTAAGATTCATTCGCCCAGAATTGAATATCTGGAACGTAGAAATAAGTGGTGGATGGTTCGATAGCGGAAACCTGATAGCAAGTGACCCACTAGATCTTAAAGAATGTGGTTGTAGCTGACTACTAGTTATTCTCAATTCACATCTTTTGAAATTTGTTTAGCCTATATTTGACATATCCAGAATTGATTCTGAATGTGTAATATTGATTTTGACGTGTTTGGTTGGTCTTGAATAGAAATGATGTTGACTCGTGAATTAATTCTTACTTGAAGTTATGATTTGTAGCTTTTTAATCAAAATGCAATTTTTACATTGATTTTTTTGTTCAATTAAATTTTATAAAAATGTATCCAAACAAAAATTAATTTACATTCAAGTCATTTTAGTCAAAATCAATTCTACGAAATCAATTTTTAATTTACTCAAAATCAAATTTTGTCACTGCAGAACCAAGCACATCTTTAATGTGATTTGTAAATATAAGGTTCAACATTTTGTTTTGGTGCTTTTATTTGTGAATTTTTTAAAAATGCTGAGTTCTTTGTCATTTAATTAAAAATGAATAAATTTTTGTCACCGCAAAACCAAACACATCTTTAATGTGATTAGTAAATATAAGGTTCAACATTTTGTTTTGGTGCTTTTATTTGTGAATTTTTTTACAATGCTGAGTTCTTGGTCATTTAATTCAAAAGCTACAAAATGTAACTTCTAGTTAAAATAAATTCTGGAATCTGGAGTCAAAATCAACGTTACTTGAAAGCAACTAACCATGTCAATTAATTTCAGACCTTTAGAATAAATTTTGAATGATCTAAATGTGTAACCAAATTCTGCACTACAACAGAGGCTATCTGATAATAGTTTCCTAAATAACGTATCGTGCAGAAATAATAGTTTGTCCAAATTCTGCACTCCTATAACAGAATAGTGCTTCTGTAGCTACTATTTGACAACATTGTTAGGACAATACATTATTTACTTTGTTATGAAATTAATGCAGTGTTTATGCTATAGCTATGATTCCTGGTATTCAGATAAATTGTGGAATTGATGGTAATTAATTAATCGAGTCATTATGGCGCAATAAGCTCCTTGTTGGTTGAACAATTGCGGTAATAAGGGATTAAATTTAAGTGTAAACCTGTGTTCAAAGCTGGAGAGTGTCTTGTCTTTTACTAACTGAAATAGTTTCTCGGTGGCCTCTGTAACTACTAGGTTGTTTTTACCTCAGCTTGCAACCAACAATTGTGCAGAAATAAGGGGTTAAATTAAGTGAAAACCTGTGTTGTCAAAGCTGGAGAGTGTCTTGTCTTTTACTAATATCGCTTAGGAATATGATCTCAGTGTGCCAATAACAGGTTGCACAATAGATATTGGATAAAGTATGATAACTTGTGAGAGGAAAAATAGAAAGTCACACTGTAAAATCTATGTTTAGCGTTTAGGTATAAACCTGTGTTGTACAAAACTCAAGCTATGTTTTTAAGCTCGGATAACGGCGCAGCATGGTCATCTCAAAAAATGGAACGGCAGTCTCAGGCCGATCCAAGCCTCGTCACCACCGTTCCGCGCCGTTTCCGTTACCGATTTCTCAGCTGTTCTGACTGTGTCGCCAGACTGTGCCTTTCTGGCACGGTCTGACACATTGTTGACCACTGTGCCGATCCACACCGAAATATTAGTCATTCAGCCAATTAACAACCTAGAGCTCAAGAGTATCTTGTCTTTTTCTAACTTGTCTTTTTCTAACTGAAATAGTTTCTCGCTGGCCTCCCTGTAAGTTTTACAGTGACAACTACTAGGTTCTTTTTGCCTCAGCTTGCAACAAACAATGGCTCTAACATCCCTGAGTCATTCTTCCCTTACTAGTGAAAACCACCTAGTTATGGCATAGGAATGTGATCTCAGTGTGCCAATAACAGGTTGCACAGTTGATATTGGAAAACTTATGATAACTTGTTGGACGAGAGAAAAATATATGTTTAAATTATTTACCATGCTGGTACTGAAAATGTGGTGAATCTTGATGACTACTCAGATAATGAACTGGTAGCATCTATCAACCCTAGCATAGCCAAAAGGCTCATGACTAGGAAAGAAAAGATGACTAGGAAAGAAAAGAAGACTGCTGCTCAAAGTCCTCCCAAGAAGAAAACTGTGGCAAAAAGTACTCATGTTGGCCCTACAAAATCTTGGAGCAAGGTGGTTCCAAAGAAAAGAAAGGCTCAAATATTGCTGAATCTGACTCAGACTCTGATGTTGTTCGTGATGTCACTGACATCCCTCCCAAGAAGAAGCCAACGACTAGCAAGCTTGCTGCTAGTGTGCCTGAGGTACCTATTGATAATATCTCCTTTCATTATCCTTCTAGTGTCAACAGGTGGAAGTATGTTTACCAGAAGAGGTTGGCCTTGGAAAGGGAGTTGACTCAGAATGCTCTTGAGTGTAAGGAAATCATGGATCTAATTCATGAAGCTGGGTTAATGAAGACTGTCACCCATTTTTCTAAGTGTTATGAAAGTTTGGTGACGGAGTTCATTGTGAACTTATCAGAAGACTGTGCTGATAAAAAGTCAAAGGATTTTGGAAAAGTGTATGTGAGAGGAAAGTGTGTCACCTTCTCCTCAACTGTCATCAACAACTATTTAGGAAGATCTGATGAAGCTCAACCTGATCTTGCTGCTTCTGACAACAAAGTCTGTCAAGTCATCACTGCCAATCAGGTCAAAAGCTGGCCCTTAAAAGGGAAACTGGTTGCTAGTAAGCTAAGTGTGAAGTATGCAATGTTGCATAAGATTGGTGCTGCAAACTGGGTGCCCACAAACCACAAATCCACTATTGCTACTGTCCTGGGAAAATTCATATATGCTGTTGGAACCAAGACAAAGTTTGATTATGGCTCCTACTTCTTTGATCAAACAATGAAGCATGCAGGAAGCTACAGTGTGAAAGGCCCTATTGCTTTCCCTTCTATTATATGTGGTATCATATTCAACCAGTATCCTAATATTCTAAATGACAATGACTCTGTGTGCAAGAGAGAAGGTCCTCTGTCCTTTCACCACAAGCTGTTTCAAGGAACTCATGTTCTTGACATTGTCATGACTTCTGCTGAGACATCCAAGGGGAGCTCAAAAATAAGTAAAGCTGAAGTCATTGCTATGCTCAAGGAGACCTGCAAGGAGTTGGAGACAAGAAAGCTGACTCTTGAAAAGTTGGTCAGCTCACTTGAGAAAGATGAAGATGCTGAGCTTGCTCATGAGCAGGATGATGGTTCTGAGGAAGGTAATGACAATGAAGCTAAATCAGACAAGGATGAATCAACTGCCAGTCCTGATGATGGCACTGATGAAGGAAATGATGGTGATGATGCTGGGGATGGCTCTGAGTCTAATGACTAGAGCACTTGTGATATTTTTTTGTGGTCTGCTATTGGTTTAGCTAGTTGTTTTTTTTTTTTCTCCTTGGGGTGTAATATTGGGGTTTCCATACCCTTTTAACATATGTGTTTCTAACTGTTCTGATCAATACTATTCCATTAGTTATTTGATCTTAATTTTATGGCTAAAAAGGGGGAGAAGATTGGCTGTATACTAGCATACAACTTAGTGTATGTCCATAACAGGTGGAAGTGAGAAGTTGATAGTAGCTGTGCCTTGCCGTTGCTCTGAGTGTAGCAGGGGTAAAGATGGTAGCTGCTGCTGCTGCTCTTTTGCTGTTAACAGGATGTGTGTTTGGTGTTTATTTTTTACTTTGAGGAGCCTAGGTGGGTTGTGATGATGTGCTCTACAGGATGGGTTGTTTTGAATCTGTTGAGGGGGAGTTTGTGTTTGCTCTCCTTGTTTTGGTTATTTTTTCTGATATGGTAGTACAACAGGCTGTGTGTGATGGTAGGGTATTAGCTATTCTGCATGATTGGCTGTGTGTTATGCTCTTTTCTGCTGCATGTGTTCTCTGATATGGTGATTAGTAATTTTAGCCAAAAATTTGCCAAAGGGGGAGTTTGTAGATGTTCTTGATTGGCTGCATTTTGTGGTAAAACATTGTTATGTGTGTGGATGTCTTGACTGATGTCAAGACATACTTGTGTAAGTGTTCTGCAGGATATGTTTGGTTAGCTAATACAGAGTTTATTGGATGTCACACTGAATGTTGTGACATTAGGTTTCTGCTAGCATGGGCACTGTTTGTTTTCTGTTATGTTTCCCTAGTTATCTCAGGCTATATTTTAGAAAACGCATTAAGCACCTGGAAGTGTGGAGATTGAATTAACTTGGTTAAACCTAATTTATGCTACCTAGGCCCATGCGCTGCATATAAAAGAAGAGTGACAATTCTTACTAAAGATGCAGAGATTTTGGGGTGAAGAATTCTAATTGATTGTGTATATCTTCACGTGTGTGTTTGCCTTAGGTTTTCGTGTGAGTCAAGCAATTATCAACCAGATGATTGTATTGGACTAGTGTGGGTTTTTGAGTAGGGTTTTGGTTGTGTCACGCTAAACTTTTAAGCAAGAGTGCTACGTCTCTTAATTAAAGCTTTTAAGCAAGATCAAGATTTGTTTGAAGTGTGTCTTCCTTCAAAATCTGTTATGTATTTGATTGATATCACTGCTGTGATTGAGGGAGAGTGAGTAGGAACTCAGGTCTAGAGTTAGATTGAAATTGCATTGGGTAGGTTTTAAGTGAAGAGTGTAAACTAGTTGTTTAACTCTGAATTAATACTGCTTATAGTGAATTTTCTCCCTGGCTTGGTAGCCCCCATAGTAGGTGTGATTTGCACCGAACTGAGTAAACAATTTCCTGTGTTCTTTACTGCTTTCATTACTTGTTTACTGCTAAGTTTGATAATCTGTTCAGACACGGATGTCATAACATCCGACATAACATCAACTGTCTGTTACTAGAATTTCAACAACATTAATTACTCACTCCGTCTCATAAAAAAAAAGTGTCCTCTTGAGTAATGCACAGTTATGAAGAAATTGATTAGATGAGTTGGTTTGAATGAAAAAACTAATATCATTTACTAGAAAATTCTTATTAATTGTAGTTAATAGAGTAGTTGAATAAAATGAAAGTTAATAAATAGGGGTATAGTTGGGGAAAAGTAATAATAAATGTTGCATTGGTATTGTAAAGGGACAATTATTTTGAGACAGAAAAAAGTGCAAATGAGACATTTTTTATGAGACGGAAGGAATACGTTGAAACTACTTTGTTGAAGAGATTGGAGAGAAAAATCTTATGCAGTTGTTAGCAAACATGGTAGCAACTACATCTTATTTGGTAAGAACGTTTGCGAAGATGGATACTCTCTCTGTCCCAAATTATAAGTCACTTTATCAAACAAATTTGTCACTTTATCAAATAAATTTGTCCCAAATTATACGTCACCACCTTACAATTCCAATGCAACATTAGTGACTTTTTTTCCCAACACACCCTCTAGCATTTATTACTATTTCTTTCAATTCTTTAAATTTGTCTTTCATCTATAATAAATGAGATGATGGATAATATTTTAAAGTCATATATAATTTCTCTTTCCCACACAACAATAATTACGTTTTATAATTACGTTTTATAATTTGGGACGGAGGTAGTAATAATTAGCCAATCCTCTCTTAGGAGAATATGATTTGACTGGGGATCTGTTGGATATGCTGTTGGATAATAATTTAGGAAAAGAAATTAAATTTTGAATCCCCTACTCTACATTACAATGCTCTAGAATTCTCTATTAACAGGAGTTTATTCATCATTAAGTTCAAATAAATAGAAAAATGTTAAAGACAATGATTATTTGACTGAAAACCCCTTTACCCGATATGCTTATTTCAAGAATCTCAATGTCTTGTTATTACTATCCATCTCCTAATGGTGAAGTAATCCCACTTCAATTCGATAACGATTAATTAACGAAAACAATATAGTTAGACTTTACTGCTTTTCATTTCCTAAGTTTGTTGATGTATTTTGTTGGCTAGTCTTCTACTGTGTTGGACTAACATTGATTTTTTGCTAGCAGAAACCCTAATGGTCAGGGAAGCGACGTTGAAGTCAGCAATTGAAGAGAAGGTTGGGGAAATAGAACAAAATGATCAATTCAAGAATTGGGGAAAGCTCAATTTTGAGATTGACGTACAAATAATAAGAGATGAAAAGCGTGGAGAGGAGTTCAGGAAGGTTGGGGAGAATAGCAAGGTTGAGAAAGGTGTAGTGGGGCAAGAAAAACGCAAATTTGGGGTTCATGATGGGAATGCTTGCCCTTTTGGTGAACATGGCAAAAAAGACGGTCCAAATGCTTCTGGTACGAAGATTCTAACTGTTTTTTTTCCTGAGACTATGTGTGCATTCTTTATTATTATTTGAAGAAAGAAAAATGAAAATTACAATGTGTTTTATTATTTATGAGGTCAAGATAGATTGTTTACGCTATATAGGACAAAAGTTTTTTGATTAGTGGAGTCAAGAAAAAAATATGTAGAATGGATGGTTGATTAACTGTGTCAATGGTCCAGTGATTGGTGAAATTTTTTCTTATAATACTGTGTTTTCCCAAAATTGGGATGTGATTATTACATATGCTTTAATGTGGGAAAACATTGTCTTTTGCCACTATCATTGTTTGGCACATTGACTTCTACATTCCTCCACCTATGCCTTTTCAGTTTGGTAACAGAATGCCTTGTAGTTGACTGGTTATCCTCAACTCACATCTTTTGAAATTTATTTGGCGTATGTTTGATTCTATGGTGGAAAAAATTGATTTTGAGGAGCTTGATTTTGTAATTGATTTTGCTTAAAAGTAAGTTGAATGTAAAGTGATTTATTTTCGGATAATTTTATGCAAAATTGAGTTGAAAAATAAATTTCAATGTTAAAGTCAAAATCTACAAATTCTAGCTTCATGTAGAATCAATTCTGGAGGCAGAATCAATTCTACTTTAGAAGAGTCAAATTCAAAATCGTTCATCAATTCTACACCTCTAGATTTGCTTTTGACTCTTTCAAAAGCAAAATCAAACATACACTTAAGCATATGTTTGACGTCTTTGGAATTGATTCTAAACTTGATTTTAAAATCCTTGGTAGGTCTCAAATAGAATTGACCATGGCTCCGTAATTAATTCTAAGTTAAAGTTAGGATTTGTAGCTTGAGTCAAAATGTGATTTTTACACTGGAATTCATTGTTCAATTCATTCTTATAAAAATGTATCCAAACGAAAATCACTTTACATTTAAGTCATTTTAGTTAGAATCAATTCTACATAATCAATTCTACATAATCAATTTTTGATTTACTCAATCAAATTTTGTCACCGCAGAACCAAACACACCTTTAATGCAATTAGTAAATATAAGGTTCAACATTTTATTTCGGTGCTTTTATTTGTGAATTTTTTTTACAATGCTGAGTTCTTTATCATTTGTGAATGTTTTTTACAATGCTGAGTTCTTTATCATTTGTGAATGTTTTTTACAATGCTGAGTTCTTTATCATTTAATTTTCTAGATTGTAGAAAAGGCAACAATTTTTTATGAGAAATATAGACTCTACTGCTTTTTATTTTCTAAACTTCTTGAAAGATTTTGTTGGCTAATCTACTGCATCATGTGTTATTGCAAGGTAATGTTATTGACCTAGTAGAAGAGTCTCTGGATGTCAAGGAAGCAACAACGACAGCAACAATTGAAGATAAAATGAAGGAAATTAGATTGCTGCATGAGAAGTTGGCCAAGAAAGAAAAATGTGCTACTGCAGAAGTCAAAGATGAAAAGGTCGATGTTATGGCCGAGAAGAAAAGGTTAGGCGGTGAACCAAGCACAAATGCCGGGCTAGGTGGTTCTTCAGGTATGGAGATTCTAAATGATTCTTTGCTAACTAATTGTACTCTCTTAGCGATCGCGTTTCCTAACATTATATGCATTCTTGAAAAACCTATTTGAAGCAACGGGTTTGAGATAAATGAAGGAAAATAGAGAAAAACAAATTTTTGATATCAACTAAGAAATATGCAAACTAGTCTTGGTGTTTTTAATAGTTCAAACTACTAGTGTTGTAAATAGTTTCTTTTTCCTGTAGTTATTTTTATTATTATTATTAGTAGTATTTTTATTATTATTAGAAGTATGGTTCTGAATAGAATATTATAGTACAAGTTGATCTATGTAGCCAACCTCACTTAGTAGGATAAAACTTGGTTGTTGTTGTATTAGAAGTATTTGTATTCAGACTTAGTCTATTAGTCATACCCATTAACTAGGTGTTTGTTTTCCTTATGCGTTTTGTTAAGAGTCCCACATCGGACAATATATGGCATGAACATGTGTTTATAAGTGGGGGCAATCCTCACTCTACAAACCGGTTTTGTAGGGTTGAGTTAGGCCCAACCACATTTCTTAACATGCTATCAGAGCCTCGTTTAAGATCTGGTGGGCCACCTTCTATGGTTTCCGCTATCAAAGCCTCGTTTAAGATCCGGTGGGCCACCTTCTATGGTTTCCGCTATCGGGCCACCCACCATTTATTTCCACGCTCCAGTTGTTCAGTTGTCAGCGTGAGGGTAAGATCTGGTGGGCCACCTTCTATGGTTTCCGCTATCAAAGCCTCGTTTAAGATCCGGTGGGCCACCTTCTATGGTTTCCGCTATCGGGCCACCCACCATTTATTTCCACGCTCCAGTTGTTCAGTTGTCAGCGTGAGGGGGTGTGTTAAGAGTCTCACATCGGACAATATATGGCATGAACATGTGTTTATAAGTGGGGGCAATCCTCACTCTACCAACCGGTTTTGTAGGGTTGAGTTAGGCCCAACCACATTTCTTAACATGGTATCAAGAGCCTCGTTTAAGATCCGGTGGGCCATCTTCTATGGTTTCCGCTATCGGGCCACCCACCATTTATTTCCACGCTTCAGTTGTCAAGTCCTGAGCGTGAGGGGGTGTGTTAAGAGTCCCACATCGGACAATATATGGCATGAACATGTGTTTGGGCAATCCTCACTCTACAAACCGGTTTTGTAGGGTTGAGTTAGGCCCAACCACATTTCTTAACAGGTTTGAGATATACCTGTGTCTCGTGAAAAGCTATAACCAGCAACTTCTTTATTTTCACATCAAAATTGCCTTGAATCGCGAGAAAGTTGACATAAACGCCAAACTATACTTACAGTATGTTATTATTACTATTATTAGGAGTATTTGTATACAGACTTTTAGTCTATTAGTCAGACCTGTTAGGTTAGAATAATCTATGTAAAGAGATTAATGCTTATACATCATTCATATTTGCAATGGACATTTGTTATGGACCAAACACTTGCTTTGATATTCCTATTAGAGTAAATGACACATTAGTCATACCCTGTAACTGCATTGCATAAAATTAGCAAATCAGATTTACAATTAGTAAAGAGATTAGTTAGTTAGAATTATGTAGAACGTTGTTATAACCCTGTGTTGAGTTGTAACTAAGTCGTAACTAACTCAGTTCAGTCACAACTACATATAAATATCATCAAGTATTCATGATCGGCATATAATTATTTTCAGTTAATTTATACCAGACTAAGAAAACATAATTCTTTCTCCTTTTCATTTCTAGAATTATCAAGTTGATGAAATCATCATCTTCACTAGATTTTTAATAAAGGTTTAATGAGCCTATGATCCATATCCATGGTTTACACTTTGAAACAGAAAAGTCTTCCACACTGAAAGATGGATATACAACGATGAATATCTTCGAAACCTTTGCTCAATGCATCAACATTAAGCTTGATGATTCAAATTTTCTCTCTTGAAAACAAAAGTTGAAGGAATCATACAAATTCCTAAGCTTCATTGCTATCTTGCAAATCCCGTTGTTCTTCCAAGATACCTCACTATTGAGGATTGAACCTCTGTACCTCTGACACTGAAAATCCTGCCTATTTGATGTGGGAGCAAGAAGATCGCTGCAGTTCACGTGGCTTTTCACAATTTTCTTGAATTCAGTCCTCCCTCGTGTTGTTCACTGTGTTCAACACCTGAGGTTTGAACAACAATGGATCAATTCCAGAAAACGCAGATCAACGTAAAGTAACATCAATTGCGTTATGAACTCAAATGCGTTTTGAAAGGAGATCAATCTATCCAGCAATTTCTAGGTCGAACTCAACAACTTGCTAATGTGCTGGAATCAGTGTTTAAAAACTCGAGAGTTTACACAGAATTGTAGAAGATTGAAAAATCGTAGCTCGAGGATCGTAGCACGGATCTTATGATTCTAGTATTAGTAGAGAAATATATAAATATATGTATAATTTCATACACATGCTCAAAAATCATCACATATATAAAAAAAATAAGTTTATTCAGAGTGAAAGAGGAAGCTTGAATAAAAGAGGAAGCAGGGTACCATTTAGAATAAGAGGAAGTGAATATGGAAGAAGAATTGTGAACAAAGGAAGAGAAACATTTACATAATTCTGATACGCTATTTAATTTTAAAGGAGTAATATTGATACACTTTTTGGAGAGAGATTGATGACGATGAGGGTAGTTATACACCATACCGCATCTCTTATTTCACGTGATATTGAAAATAGAGTCCCAACATTTATTAGGAGCAGTCTAGAAAAATTTTGCTACTTTTTGGACTGCTCTTGATATAACTTTGGAGCTCAATATATACAATAACACAAGAATGTATTCTCTTTTCTATGTAATTTTGCTGGTAAATTATGCTCATCTTCATCGTTGTCTCCTACATTAATACTAATTCATATTTTAAATCGAAGATTATAAAATACATCGTAGGTTATCTTGATATTATATTAGAGTATGGTAGATTATTTTGTAATTGACTGGTTATCTACATCTGGCACTGCTTCAGCTGTTTTTATTGCACCTTAAGTCTTTTTACAAGCCTCTAGTTTTGTTTATCCGCACAAACTGTATGTTAAGTCTGATTTCTTATTTAACAAGCTCAACCCGCCAGTCCGATTATGTTGTCCCAAATATAAATTTAACAATACAAATATCAGTAATTAACCAACTTTTCTATCAATGATTGATCCAAATATTTATGCGAAGGCGTAAAAGTTAATGCTCAATACATCTTACATAATACTACTTCCGTTCCTTTTTATAAGAGACAATTTAATTTTTAAGTTCTGTTGAAATACAAGAGACTAAGAGACATTTGAATAAACCGTGTGTCTTTGAAAAGCACTACGGAGACATTATTATATATAAATAGATTACACCTAATTACATAATATAGTCGATGTGGGACTATTCTATATACAAATATTCTTAACACTTTATATATATATATATATTTACAAATATCAACACTCCCCCTCAAACTTGAGCATATAAGTCAAATGCACCAAGCTTGTTACATATATAGTTAGTTCTGGGGCTTCGTAGGGATTTTGTAAACACATCTGCCAATTGATCATTAGAGTTGACAAAGCTTGTGACGATGTCGCCTGACTCGATCTTCTCTCTGACAAAGTGACAGTCTATCTCAATATGTTTGGTCCTCTCATGAAAGACTGGATTTGAAGCAATGTGCAATGCAGCTTGATTATCACAAATAAGTGTCATTGGTCTTGCTTCTTCAATTTGAAGTTCCTTGAGCAACTGTTTTAACCAAATAAGTTCACATGTTGCCATTGCCATCGCCCTATACTCTGCCTCGGCGCTTGATCTTGCAACTACATTTTGTTTCTTACTTTTCCAGGATATAAGGTTTCCTCCAACAAGTACACAATACCCAGAGGTGGATCGTCTATCAATGGGTGACCCTGCCCAATCAGCATCAGAGTATCCAATTATCTGGGTATGTCTTTTATCCTCATACACAAGACCTTTTCCTGGAGCACATTTGATGTATCTCAAAATCCGGATAACAGCATCCATATGTTCCTGACAAGGGGAATTTAAAAACTGGCTTACCACACTGACTGCAAAAGAAATGTCCGGACGAGTGACTGTGAGATAATTCAACTTTCCAACCAATCTCCTATACCTTCCTGAGTCAGATAGAGGCTCCCCCTGATTGGGTAGTAATTTACACTTGGATCCATAGGAGTATCGGCTGGTTTAGCATTTAACAAACCTGTTTCTTCCAAAATATCCATAGCATATTTCCGCTGAGAAATCACCAAACCATCTTTAGATTGGGCTACTTCAATACCCAAGAAATAACGGAGTTTACCAAGATCTTTTGTCTGAAATTGTTTCGAGAGATGTTGTTTCAACTGGAATATTCCCTGCTGATTACTACCAGTTATGACAATGTCATCTACATACACAATAAGATAAATACACCCTTGGGGTGAGTGACGATAAAAAACAGAATGGTCAGCTTCACTACGGATCATACCAAACTGTTGTACTACAGTGCTGAATCTGCCAAACCAAGCTCTCGGAGATTGCTTAAGACCATAAAGAGACCTGTGTAGCCTACAAACCATATTCGATGACTCCCCCTGAGCAACAAACCCAGGTGGTTGCTCCATATATACTTCCTCTTCAAGATCGCCATGTAAGAATGCATTTTTGATGTCAAGTTGATGAAGAGTCTAACAGATGTCATCTTGGCTACAGGTGAAAAGGTATCACCATAATCCAACCCAAAAATTTGAGTGTATCCTTTGGCTACTAAGCGAGCTTTAAATCGATCAATCTTGCCATCTGGACCAACCTTCACTGTATAAAGCCAACGACAACCTACTAAAGATTTTCCATGGGGTAGAGGAACCAGTTCCCAGGTACCACTGCTTTGAAGAGCACACATTTCATCAATCATTGCTTGCCTCCACTCAGGGTGAGATAATGCTTCACCTGGAGTTTTAGGAATAGAAACAGAAGACAAAGAAGACAAACAAGTATACTGCAAAGGGGAAAGACGATGATAACATAAATCAATATAATGTGGAGAAGGATTTCGTGTTTGACGTATACCTTTTCGAAGGGCAATCGGAAGATCAGACTCAGGTTGCAGGATCGAATCCGGTGATGACGAGAGCGTCGGAGGAGAGTCTGTAGTGACCTCAGGGACAGGTACAACTTCAGGGACAGGTACGACTACAGGGACAGGTACAACTTCAGGGACAGGTACGACAGACTTTGGGTGACGACGCTGATATGTTTGAAGTGGGCGAGTGGGGGGGTCAACCGTAGGGGTAACTAGTGGGTCAGGTTCCCTAGAATGATGGGGGATAATGACAGATGGGACTTCCGGAAGAGGTGTGGGAATACTTTCCCGTAGAGGTTCTGTAGTTACTTGGCTGGATTCGAAATATGGAACAGACTCGAAGAAGGTAACATCGGCGGATACGAGGTATCGTTGTAGAGTATGTGAGTAGCAACGATAACCTTTTTGGGATCGATGATAGCCAAGAAAGACACACTTTAGTGATCGAGCTGATAGTTTATCAAGACCAGGGGAGAGATTGTGTACAAAACACGTTGACCCGAAGACTCGAGGAGGAATTGGGTGGAGTGGAGAGTTTGGAAACAGGATTGAATGAGGGATTTTATTATTAAGGATAGATGAGGGCATGCGATTTATGAGGTAACATGCTGTGAGCACCGCATCTCCCCAAAACCGGAGAGGAACATTACCATGGAGAAGTAGTGTCCGAGTGGTTTCTACGAGGTGCCGATTTTTGCGTTCGGCTACCCCGTTTTGTTGGGGTGTATGAGGGCAAGATGTTTGGTGCAAAATACCATTGGATGACATAAATGTTTGAAATTGTTGGGATAAATATTCACGTGCATTGTCACTTCTTAGGGTACGAATAGATAAACCAAATTGGGTTCTTATTTCTCGATAAAATTGTTCAAAAATAGAAAACAATTCAGACCTGTTCTTCATTAAAAATAACCATGTGCAACGTGAAAAATCATCAATAAAGGTTACAAAATACCTAGACTCAAAAGTAGACACGGTACGTGAGGGACCCCAAACATCGGAGTGGACTAAAGCAAAAGGGGACGCAGCCCGTTTATTGACTCGATCGGAAAAGTGACTACGAGTATGTTTTCCTAACTGACAAGACTCACAATGTAAAGTGGATAATTTAGATAAACTGGGCACCAACTTTTGTAGCTTGGGAAGACCTGGATGACCTAACTGCGCATGTATAATGAGTGGAGAATCTGTGGTGGAGCATGTGGTAGATGACGTAGAGAAGTAGTAGAGGCCTTGAGACTCACATCCGACGCCAATCGTCTGTCCCGAACTCCGATCCTGCAGAGTAACATTACTATTAGTAAAGGTGATAGAACAATTAAGGGAACGAGTTAAACGACTGACTGACAGTAAATTAAATGGGCAATTAGGTACATAAAGGACAGAAGTAACAGAGAGAGACGGTAAAATTTGAACAGTACCAATCCCTTGGGATCGGGTTTGAGAACCATTTGCTGCAGTTATAATAGGCAAGAAACCAGAGGTAGAGAGGGAGGAAAAAAGACCTTTATTACCAGTAACATGATCAGACGCACCAGAGTCAAGGACCCAAGGACCAAGAGGAGATGATTGAGAGAAGCAAACAGATGAATTACCAGTGTGTGCAACCGAAGCAGTGGAACCAGAGATCTGATTAGTCTGACACCATCTGAGAAAATCTTCGTAGCTTGGCGTAGGGTTCTGAATAGAAGGTGAAGTCTGCATAGTTTCTGAGTTATCACTTTGAGCTGCATTTACCTGGCGTGGGGGTTTGCCATGTAGCTTCCAACAACGGTCGATAGTATGTCCAAGCCGGTTACAATGGTTACACTTGGGACGAGGTTTGGAGTTGGATGACCCTCCTCGAGGACGACTCTGATTGTTGCCCAGAGATGCGAGGGCAACAGTGTCACCTGGTGTAGCAACAGTAGATGGAGGGGAAACCGGACCAAACGCATGAGGTGTAGCCAAGCGCAACAGTTGTTCACTAACTGCATCATAGTTAGGAACAATAGTACCTGATAAAATCTGGTTACGAACGGAGTCGAGTTCGGATGGTAGTCCTTTAAGTGCCATCACCATGAAAAATTTACTCTGTTGTTCGGCATGAGCTGTTGCGTCTTTTGCGTACGGCATGAGGGTTGCGTAACTTGCTTTCAAAGCATCAAGGTTACTCAGATAGGTTTGCATATCCATATTTTCCATCTTTAGTGTGTCGAGTTTGAGGATGACACTGTATAGACAATGAACGTCATTGGAGAAGACTTTCTTGGCCTTTTCCCAAACTTCATAGCAAGTGGAGAAGGCTTGATACTGTGCTTGGAGGTTAGGTGCTATGGAGAACCATAACACGGTAAGGAGAGAGGCATCTGTTTTCTTCCATTTAGCAAGTTTGTCGGAGGCAACATTAGTCAATTGTGTGGTTAGGTGATCTTCATATCCCTGACCACGAAACCACATATCGACAGCACGCGCCCATATGTTATAGTTTGCTGATCCGGTCAATTTTTCACATGGGATAAGAGGAACTTTAGTAAACGAGTCTCCCATAGCTTAATGACACAAACAATCGGGGTTGCTTGCACTGGAGCACCGTTTTCCGTGAGTCGGAAAGTAAAACAGAGGCCGGATCTGGAATGGGTGAGGAGAGGTGAGTAGATCAGCAGAAAAACGGTCGGAATCAGCCGCCGGTCGCGCTGGGGCAGCAGCGGGAAAAAGGGGCTCTGGGGCAGCAGCGGGAAACGGATCGGAAAATCAGTAATCCGTGGCGGCAAGGCGGTTACGCGCTGGGGCAGCAGCGGGAAACGGATCGGAAAATCAGTAATCGGTGGCGGCAAGGCGGTTACAGGCGAATTTTGCAAGGCGGTTACGAGCGAATTTTGCAAGGCGGTTACGGGCGAATTTTGAAAAGTGAGAGGCAAACCGGAGTGACAACACGGTTTGCCAAAAAAATTTTCTCACCGGAAGACAGTAGGTCAACCGGGTAAAATACGGCGAAGAAAGAATTGTCTCTTGTTAATAGGCTCTAGACTGACCAATGTATCTAGTCTATAAACTGACCAAATACATTGATTATTCAATGAACCTAAAAAATGAGTTGTCTCTTATAAAAAGGAACGGAGGTAGTATTCAAGTATATATTCGAGCAATTCATCCCCCATTTAGTAAGTTTTGGAATCTGTTTCTGGATGCAGCATTTAAATCTCATTATTTCTAATTTAAATGCAACCATGCAATCATCTTGAGTTCACTAAGATAAAATCCATTTTTCTTGGTGAAAATTCCTTTACTAATAAATTAGGAACCTTTGTCCCCTATGTGAAACTAATTGAACAAAATCATAAAGCTTAGAAACTTATATGGAAAGCACATAGCTTAGTTTCTATTCCTAGTAAAAACATATGGTTCTTTTCTTGATTCATTTCATACTTTATAATATCTGTATTCCAAGAAACATACTAATTTTACCATCACAAAGCGCATTAAGAATAGAACAAAAAACACACTTTTGTCCAAATTCAAACCAAAATCAGTGTAGTGAATTCAAGTTACCTCTATCCATGATAGAAATCACATAACCTAATATGAAAAATCTAACTAGTCATGATAAAGATAAGAGATATTAAGAGTTGGAGTAGGAGATGCCACTGAAGCTTCAAGAGTAGTTCTCTAATCTAATCTTATCTAACTTTAAGTGCTTAACTATATATGCATTCTTGATTGTGATTCTGAAAACAATTGATTATCATCTCTGAGGAGTATTGGGATAAATATAATTTGCTTTGGGTTTTGGTTATGTGGGACGTTACATTATGTGCTTTTTTGTCGTGGGTTGAAGGCTATGTTTGTCATAATTATGATTGGCAGAATAGTTTGAAGAACTGAGGGAAAAAATTTGGTGGTGTTTTTTTTTTATTGTTGTATTAAAACTTAACTCTGTTTTTGAAAGTGTAGAGAACGAATCACATATAAATTGACCAGCAGCCATTTTTATGCATATTTTATAAAATTTAGGTACTCTAGAATCAGTACCTGTAATCATTCCTTTTCGTGGTTTATTTATTTATATTCCTTATCATTCCATTTCCCAAGCTTCAATTCAACTATTTATCAGAATTATGCAAAGAATACACACTTTTTTTTCGCACTCTTTTTATTGGTACATTAAATTTATGTGGGGCTGCATAATTGGGTGAAATCCATTTGAAAAGTGAGTGATGAAGATGAGCATAATACAAGCAACATTGAATAGAAAAGAGACTAATTCATGTGTTATTGCAGGTAATTGGTGGACAAATTCTTCAAGAGTAGTTTCGAAAAACTTTACAACAAAAGTGGCCGAACCTGCAGGAGTTATCAAAAGAGATTTTGCTTCGCCTGGTGGGTATGTTGAAAATGTCTTGGATGGCTTAGAATCTGATAGTTCCTCATCTAGCTCTAGTTCATCGTCTGGGGAGTTTGATATTTCCTCTTTCACATCCCTTAAGAGAACTAAGCTGAGCTAATGTAAATAGATAGGAAAGCATACTTGGCATATAAACATTTTTTTGTATGGACAGCAGAAAAATGACGGGAGAAAACAAAGTTTGGAGGAAGATTAGAGAGAAAGACGAAGGATAAACAAAATTGTTGAATTTTAGGGTAAACTTGGTTGTAAATTATCAATGCCAGTAAAATGCCTAATGTTTTGATTTATGTGGGGAGCACAATAGAATGATTACCAGTTTAAAGAGGAGTTTGATTTGTATGCACTGATAATGTAAATTGATCCCATCCATTTTGCATAGTGCAATCAATAGATGAATTTATAGAATATACTTCTATACTTTTCTGCAGAGCTATATATATCTATTTATGATGCATATATAAAGATTGTCAAAATAAAAAAATTGCATTAATTAGAAAGAAAACATTCATTACAATTTCCCAAATTTACTCTCATTAAAATGTAAACCTCCTTCCTCAATTGGTCCTGCACTAGTGTCCAATGAAAGAAAGTACTTAAAAAATAAATTGCAAGTTGAAAAGAAAGAATATAATATACTACAACATCTTTTTTCACCTTTGTTAAATATTTTCTCGTACCAAATTATAAAATGTTTTGGACATTTCATACCAATTAAGACTTTATGAAAAAGACAAATTATGTAGAACTTTATAGTAATGTTTTTCATAATTATATATGAGAGAAAAATTAAAAGAGTTGAAAGAATAAATAATAATAAATATTTAAGGATATATTTGAAAAAGTGTTAGTAATATTGTATTGAAAATATATAATAACTTATAATTTAGAATAAATTTTAGTAAAGTGATTTATAATTTAGAAGAAAGGTAATAGTAGTAGTTCCATCCGGTAACCAATACTTTACCTTTTAGACAACTCTACCAAGACAACATTCCAACGATCTTTATTTTGATGCGGTGGGGACTATACCCTAACTTTGACTTATTATTAATATTTTTCTCTTTATTTTTTTTAAGTGTTATTTTTTAATAATTTTTTTTTTATTTTGTTTCTTTTTACTCTATGTCTCAAATTATAAGTCATTTTACATTTTTAAAGCAATATTAATGAAATTTTTTTCAATATATCCTTAAATATTTATTATTATTTATTCTTTTAACTTTTTTAATTTTTTTCTCCTCTATAATTATGAAGACATTATTGTAAAGTCATACATAATTTGTCTTTTTCATAAAAAAATAATTAAATTTCTTAATTCGTATGAAATGCTCAAAACGTTTTATAACTTTGAACGGAGGTAATAATTGTCAATTACAAAGTTTAAAGTAGTATTAATTGTACTTTTGTCAAAATTATACATAAATATTCATTATAGAGAGAAAAAAATAAAATTAAAAATAATAAGATTGATTAAAAAAAATAACATTTAAAAAAAATGGAGGGAGTAACGATTTGATACATCTGACATTTAATAAAGTGACATGTGGCTATCTCATTCTTTTATTACAAAAATATTAAAAACTAAAAAATAATCTGAACCGAGTACCATCGTATGGGTTTAGGATATGGCTCTCCAACAAAGACAGAAGGATATGCTCTGTTAATTTCGTAACTCTGTTGAGCTGAAAATATGTAACAGTCCTTAACATCCAATCTATCTCAACCTTTATTTTCTTTCAAACAAGTGTTCAATTTCTTCTATAACGAATAAGCTTCAGCAATACTTACAAAAAATATATAATTCTTAAATTTTGTACCCTTCTTTCAAACTTAATACTTCTAGTCTACTTTAATTTCTGTTCAGTTTCAGCTCTCAACTTCCAAAACCAGTGTTTGACCTCCTTGTGTATTCTGCAACTAGTTGAGCAAGAGATGAAGATTTGTCCTTAAGCAACTTCTTTGGTGAATCATATTCCTCAATAAGACCTGTAGTAGGAAGAAAATCATGCTCACAATTATATGTAAAAAAATAGTAACAAATATGGAAGGAACAAAAACAGGTTCTACCTTCACTGAGAAATAGAACCATGTCGCTATCGAGGATTGAAGTTATTCTATGAGCAATGGTAATGACTGTGCAATCAGAGAAATGTTGCTTAACTGTCTGTTGGATTATATTATCTGTCGCTGTATCAACTGATGCAGTAGCTTCATCAAGCACTAATATCTTGCTTTTCTTTAGTAAAACACGGCCGAGGCAAACCAACTGTCTTTGACCCATGCTCCAGTTTTCTCCATTCTCAGTAACTGCAGATCTCATGATGGATGATGCTAAGTGATACATTGCATAGAATTGACTTCTAAGACTTACTATAAACTTCCTTTGTCGCATATTAAGTGACGTTTAAGTTTTTTATTACAAGAATTTAAAAAAGTAATAACCAAGTCTTTTTGATCAAAACATTATTTAAAATTTTGAGAAGTCGAACCTGTGGAGTCAAGCTTCTCTTCTTTCTTCCTCACTTCATCTCCTAGTTGGCACATATCTAAAGCCTAAAATATTTCACAAGATATAGTAGTTTGTATATCTTGCAGTAAAAAGACCGACTATTTCTAAAATTCTAGCAAAACCAATTTACCTCCCAAATTTGTTCATCTGTGTACTCTTCCAGTGGGTCGAGGTTGCTTCTTACTGTCCCTTCAAACATTGTCGGGTCCTGAGGAATTATGCTGAGTCTGGACCGTAAATCATGGATTCCAATCAATGAGATGTTGATGTTATCTATCAATATTTGTCCTGCGACAGGTTCAACAAGTCTGAAAAGTGCTTGCACAAGTGTTGATTTTCCACTTCCAGTTCTTCCAACAATGCCAGTTTTTGCTCCAGCGGTGAAAGTGCATTTTAGTCCACGTAAAACAAGAGGCAAGCGAGGAGCATATTGAACCTGTATAATGCCTTATTTAAATATAGCTGCAAACTAAATTACCTTGGAACACTTGAGACTTATTTAGATAAACAACTAAATTAAGTGTTTAATAAGCACTTATCATATAAGTGCTTCTGTATAAGCTATTTCTATAATTTTACAAATATGATCTATATGACGGTAACTTTGAATCTATCAATAGGATTTGATATCATGTATTTTGTTATTCAACGGTGTAGTACCTGTAAATCCTGGATATGAACCTCTCCGAATGATGGCCAAGAATGATCTGGTTGATTGTCTTTTATTACAAGAGGTGCTTCACTTGGGATGGAGGTGTACTGAAGTATTCTTTCTACAGATATAATTTTGTTCTCCAAATTGCAAAGAAACCAAATTAAATTAGTTTGAATAGCATTTAGATTAATCCCATATGTAACAGCCAATCCCGCAATACCTGGAAAAGAATGAAGTTTTATGCCTATGTCATGATTCACAATGAGCATGCGTGTTTAGTAAGTGCATGTAAATAGAAATTAAAATACTCACTAGGATCAGCAATTGAACTTGGAAAAGATACCAAGAAAACCAAGCAGAAAGCAAATATGGTAGAGGATAAAAGATCCAATCTGAAACTCAACCATTCCATTGCACTAGCACTGTATAATTTAGGTTGGGAATATTTGTCTATCAATTGCATATTCAATTCAGTAAATCTTGATTCTTGCTCAAAACTTCTTATGGTTGTTGATCCGGATATCGTTTCAGAAAAATGTTGTATAACTGGCGCTTGACATACACCAGTTAATCGTGCCAATTCTCGTGCTGATGCTGAATAGTATCGCTGCATATAGAGAAGCATTAACAATGGTACTTTGGTAAATGAAAACAATTTTATCATAAAAGTTAGTACACTTGATGATTTCCTTAGAAAAATGTGCAGAACTTTGAAAATATGAGACGGAGTGAGTACCTGGTACCAAATGCAAGCTGCCATGACAGGAATCAATACTACGAACACCTGCCATGCTGCTTGAGACATCACAGCAATAGTTCCCAATAGCTGAACCATATTGTAGGTGAAACCCCATGCTAGATTTGAAATGTTCATATCTACTGTACTTTGGTCTGACGAAGCCTAAAAAAAGGGGGTCAAGTTAAAATTTAGATAAGCAATTACATTCAATATAGTCATTTCGTAAAACAGAAAAAAAGAATTATAGAGAAATCAAACTGTCAAAAATAATGCACTGAGCCATCATGGTATCAGGATCGCCTGTAATAAAAATACCATGAAGTTTCACGGAGACGGCTCATTTTATACATTCAATAAATGAGATTTGAACAATCTCGGCCATTGATTTAAATTAGACGGTCAAGATCAGTAACTGCATAGTATTTAATGCAGCTAACCTGTTTCCACTAGGATGAGATAAACAATTAATTTTACAAAATAAACCAATGAAAAATTATTGACATGTTATGGCATACTCTATTAAGAATTCTTCCACTTGGGGTTGAATCAAAAAATGACATCGGCGCTCGAATGAAGCTCAAATGCATTTGATTGAAGAGCATGGTGGCAGTCTTGTATCCAGCTATCGCAGCAAGAACTGCTCTGCCAAGGGTGGCAAAGGAACTTCCAATAGCCAAAGAAACATACACAATCATCAGAGTAAGGTTTCCAATCTCAGGTTCTTCAGTTGCTGAAACAGGTGTTGCCAAAGCCATCCAATAATTGCTTGCAATTTGTAAAACCACAGTGAGTATCTGTGTAAGAAGTAGGAAAGGTACAAGGGCTCCTCCATAAGCTGTTGTTATGTATTTCCAAAACACTTTGAACCCAACACTACCCTTTTCACGTTCTTCGTCTTGAACAAGTTGGCCTTTCGGCACAATTGTTTCATCTAACTTGCCGTTTTGATCATCTACGTTTTCGATTTCTTGCTCCAGTTCAAAATCACTTAATGAACCTGTGTCTTCTCCGGTTATACTCAATGTTTTAAATGTAGCCCTTCTCTCTAAGGACTTAACTGAAGACAATGCTGCTGTGTGCGCTCCTACAAGTTCCATAAAATCGGTTCCTAACGTAAGAATGTCATTGTACTTTCCTGATTGAGTTATCCTTCCTTCTTTCATGACCTAAATGAATTGTAAGAAAGAAAAATAT